ATATAATATTGTATTATTTCTTTTAAAAAATCTGTACAAAATGATGTATTTAAAAGTGAAAAGACCTAGACATCTGCAACCAAATTTTCATATTGCTGTATTTCTGGTCACCTATGTACTAGTAATCTTATATAAAAATGGCCGCCCCTATGTTAAACAGGTCGGACGTCTCTCTTGCTCCGTATACCTATTATAAGTATGTGGTCCAAATGGCTACCAGTGGAGAGTGACAGTTAAGATATGGCAACCCTGTTGTCATGTTGTCATTAACAGGGTCAATGATACATATATGGTTATATAGATTGCTCAGAGCTGGTCGTTTGCGGGCGTCCATATTACCTGGCAAATATTTATTAATTTGAATCGGTTTAGCAAAAATGTGTTTTAAAATCAATTTTTAGCCTTTGGAGATTAAAAAAAATAATTTCTTACATTTTTGCTTCAAAGCATAAGCTTTTGTCTATTTTGAAAAACATGGATGATCAATCTATATAACTATCTGTTTTATTGACCCTGTCAAATCACCAGGCCTACAGGGTTGCCATAATGTTGCCATATCAAAACCTGTCAAAACCCACAGTGATATGACTCTTGTACAAATTTTTGATACGAACTTACATATGATAAAATTATTGGAAAAAGTGAACACCCATTTTAAATTACAGCCACCACTGCCAAAATCAATATATTTATGTCAAAGATCATATTATTATTGTAACAAATTTAGTTGTATTGGATTTAAGAAAATGGTATTATTGAATATAAATAAAGTATATTTAAAAAAAGTGTAAGACTGCTTATTTCAAGATTATTAATTTTTTCAATAAAACTATCATATAATTCAACCAAAATCAATACACATATGTCAAAGATCATATTATTATTGTAAAAAATTTAGTTGTATTGGATTTAAGAACAAGGTATTATTGAATATAAATAAAGTATATTTAAAACAAGTGTAAGACTATTTCATTTAAGATGTACATAATACTGCAATTGAGCAATAAATACTCTTCATTTAATTAGAGGTATTTTGGTTAGGGCAAAATGATTCTAATCTTGAAGCAACGCTTATTAGCTATTGTTGAACAAGTATTACTTTTGAGAATTTCAAATCGAGACGAATTTTACTTGCGGATATACAAACACAACAAAGCATTGAAATAAGACCATTCATCTTGAATATAGTACACCTTTTCTTCTGTGTATCTTCCCATGTCAACAACTTAGTCAATAAGTGAGTCCCCTAAATGCAAAACTCGGTATTTGACGAAATTTTCAAAAGTAATGTTTTGGCGCCATTCAATTCCTTATTTCAAACTCTACCATTCTTCTCCTAAAATAACATGCAAAACTCCCTATTTCTGCATTAAAAACGCTTTACAAAACAAAGACTAGGTGCAAAACTCTGTATTTGCCTTCATTTGTCAAATGCAAAACAATGTAATTGTAACTTGCCAATGGCGTTGCGCCTAATAGTCACGTGATTAAGTAAGTGCGCGGGCACGTAGACATTTTAATTTATTCATTTGTTGTTTGGATTCTGAAGAGGCCAAAGTAATTGAGATTAGGAAAACCAGTATTAAAAGGGACAAATTTTCAATTTTTAGTTTATTAAAAAACACTTTGAAGCCGATTGATCTAACCACACTGATCTTCAATTTTTTAGCGCTCAGTTGAAACTCGCCAGCAACAAGATCACCACCAAGAAGAAATCTTCATGGAAAAAGAAAATGAAGAACTCAAATTCTAAGAGTTAATTTTCTTATAAGTACCTTTTTTGCTTATTTAGAGATTTTTTGCTTGTATATAATATATTACTACACCTAATAAAACTGTTGGAATTTATATTTTTACTTTCCTATCTGTATACAGATATAAGGAAAGTATAGGAATCATGATTTTTTTCGACCTCGAGTTTTCGACGGATTTTTACGTTTTGAGGTCCCCTGAATCCGTTTTGACTATTTTCGCGATGATGTGTGTGTGTGTGTGTGTGTGTGTGTGTGTGTGTGTGTGTGTGTGTGTGTGTGTGTGTGTGTGTGTGTGTGTGTGTGTGTGTGTGTGTGTGTGTGTGTGTGTGTGTGTGTGTGTGTGTGTGTGTGTGTGTGTGTGTGTGTGTGTGTGTGTGTGTGTGTGTGTGTGTGTGTGTGTGTGTGTGTGTGTGTGTGTGTGTGTGTGTGTGTGTGTGTGTGTGTGTGTGTGTGTGTGTGTGTGTGTGTGTGTGTGTGTGTGTGTGTGTGTGTGTGTGTGTGTGTGTGTGTGTGTGTGTGTGTGTGTGTGTGTGTGTGTGTGTGTGTGTGTGTGTGTGTGTGTGTGTGTGTGTGTGTGTGTGTGTGTGTGTGTGTGTGTGTGTGTGTGTGTGTGTGTGTGTGTGTGTGTGTGTGTGTGTGTGTGTGTGTGTGTGTGTGTGTGTGTGTGTGTGTGTGTGTGTGTGTGTGTGTGTGTGTGTGTGTGTGTGTGTGTGTGTGTGTGTGTGTGTGTGTGTGTGTGTGTGTGTGTGTGTGTGTGTGTGTGTGTGTGTGTGTGTGTGTGTGTGTGTGTGTGTGTGTGTGTGTGTGTGTGTGTGTGTGTGTGTGTGTGTGTGTGTGTGTGTGTGTGTGTGTGTGTGTGTGTGTGTGTGTGTGTGTGTGTGTGTGTATGTGTGTGTGTGTGTGTGTGTGTGTGTGTGTGTGTGTGTGTGTGTGTGTGTGTGTGTGTGTGTGTGTGTGTGTGTGTGTGTGTGTGTGTGTGTGTGTGTGTGTGTGTGTGTGTGTGTGTGTGTGTGTGTGTGTGTGTGTGTGTGTGTGTGTGTGTGTGTGTGTGTGTGTGTGTGTGTGTGTGTGTGTGTGTGTGTGTGTGTGTGTGTGTGTGTGTGTGTGTGTGTGTGTGTGTGTGTGTGTGTGTGTGTGTGTGTGTGTGTGTGTGTGTGTGTGTGTGTGTGTGTGTGTGTGTGTGTGTGTGTGTGTGTGTGTGTGTGTGTGTGTGTGTGTGTGTGTGTGTGTGTGTGTGTGTGTGTGTGTGTGTGTGTGTGTGTGTGTGTGTGTGTGTGTGTGTGTGTGTGTGTGTGTGTGTGTGTGTGTGTGTGTGTGTGTGTGTGTGTGTGTGTGTGTGTGTGTGTGTGTGTGTGTGTGTGTGTGTGTGTGATACATAGAAAAACACCAAATTTTAAACTTAAGCTTTGTTTTAACGTCCAATGAGCTGATGAGATTTTGGGCAGAGTCGGAACATCTGGGGGGGTACTTTATAGGTGGTCATTTTTATATTTTATGGAATATATCTGTTATTTACGTTTGGAAAAGAAAATTCTTTAAATAAAAGTTACTTCTAATATAATTATCTATAATTTTTGTTTTATGCAAAATTTTTCTAAAATGGTCCGTATTCGAGAAATTTGACAAAATGTAAAAAAAAACAATTTTTTATAAAAATTGTTTAAATAAAAGTTGTTTATAATATAATTCTCTATAATTTTTATTCTATACATAATTTCTCTAAAATGAACCGTATTGGAGATATTTGAGAAAATGTGTAAATTTCGAATTTTAAAGAAAACTCAAAAACGGATAAAGAAAAAAACATTAAATTTTAAACTTAAGGTTTATTTCGGCCTGACGTGAAATGATTAGATTTTGGAACATCTGGGGGGGTACTTTATGGGAGGCCGTTTTTATATTTTATGGAATATATCTGTTATTAATGTTTGGAGAAAAAAATTGTTCAAATAAAAGTTACTTCTAATATTATTATCATTTTTGTTTTATGTAAAAATTTCCTGAAATGGTCCGTATTCGAGAAATTTGACAAAATGTGCAAAATTTTGATTTTTATGAAAGTTTTTGAAATAAAGTTGTTTGCGATACGATCTCTATAATTTTTGTTTATACATGATTTTTCTAAAATGGACCGTAATGAAAAAATTGTAGGAAATTTAAATTTTTCAGTATTTTCGTTTTCGTTTCGAGGTAGATGTATGTGGACAATGTATATATTTAGTTTATCCTCTAAACATTTATAGAGATGCTGCAATAGGTTGTACAAAATAACCGGAAAAGCATATAATAACTAGATAGGAAAGTCATGTGTTGGACACATCAGATTTTTGTATCTTTAATTAAAAAAATATATAAAATAAATGTTCTAAAATAAGACAACCATGCACTTACTTATCGGTATTTGCAATTGTGAGTTGCAAAACTGGGTATTTTTAAAACATAAATGCAAAACTCGGTATTTTAATTTTAAAAGTATTTTTTTTTTAATTTTTGGTAGGATTTCGGATTAAAGAGCATAGTTATTTCAAAACAGAATCACTAGAGCCAACTAAAAACAAAATTTAAAACGAATTTCATATGTATTTTAATTACTGACAGGTTTTTGCCCTTCCTGAAAAGTTTTGTAACCAGCAAATACCGAGTTTTACATTTAGGGGACTCAATTATCTTATTTTACATTATACAATATTTAAACCCAATATAATCTTAAAATTAATTTCTTACTAACATGAATAAAATAAATTTAATTATATTTGAATAAAACTTTGAAAACAAGGTTTGTGAGATTTAATGAGGTTAAACTAGCCGTGAAATAATTATTAGTCAAGTAATCTGCTTTCTAAGAATAACATATTATTGGAAATATTTTTAGATCAAAATTTAAACTGGTTGTTACGTTTTAAAAAATTCAAAAGACGACTAATTAATCAACATTTGCAAAAAATACATTATATTTGTTATTATATTTTGAGTAATATTTTAAATAATGCACTAATAGGGATTGTCAAAAACGGAAAAATTAAAAAAATATATAACTATTAATATAATTTTCCAAATTTTAAAGAAATTATTGAAAAACCGAGAATAGTTTAACAAAATACCTTTAAAAAACTATTTGAGGTATCTTTGTGAAACCTATTGATTATATAAATATTTGAAATTAAATATTTTTCAGGTAAATTTAGATTTTTTATTACATTTTAGTTGATTTACCTACTCTATTAAAATGTATAAACGTTTTCTTACCAGGAATGGATACAGAAAATCCTTTAGGATGATAAGCTTCTACAATTGCATCTGGAACTTCATATTGGGCACTTGTAAACACAATATTTGAGACAACCAACAAAATCCAGCCAAGCATGCTGAAGCGTTAATAGTTGTCTGAGGTTTGCATGTTTATTGCATATTTCAGAAGCAAATACATGGGAATTTTATGGAAACTGGTTTTGATGTCAACCGTATTATAATTGTCTGGGTTAAATTCATTAATACTACAATCCTAACTAAAGATGATCTTCTCTTAAATTCACAGGATGTCTATATTTTGCAGAAAACGAATTAACAGTAACATGTAACAGTAACTATTTATAGGCCAGTCATTAGATATAATCAATTCACATTAATTATAAAAGTTTTCAAACTTTCTTGGAATATTTGTTAAATTTAATTTTTCAACTTTTTCTAAAAAAAAAAAAAAAAAATACAAAAGTGCTGCAAACTTGAAGCAATATTTATTGTATTATTTTCAACATTATATCAGATTTGCATCTTTTTTGAAAGTCCGAAACATGTTTTTTTTTTGTAAAACAGCGTTTTTGTTTATATCATAGACAAAAAAAATTGCAAAATTCCTGCAAACCGATGACATAACTCATACAAGTTTTTGGAACAGCTATTTCAATTTGCAACCTTTTATTTTGCACGGAAATATATATATTTTTTTTTTTTGTAAAAATATCAAAATATTTTTTTATGTTCCTCTAATTTGGTCAAAAATAAAAATTAAAAAGTTTTGAAAATTAGTTTGAAATGTTACCATTACTTTTCTTAACAATCTGGTAAATTTGCAACCTAGGATAAGGTGCGTAACCTTGAAAAGTTAACAAAAATCATGAATTCGCACCATGGAGATTTAATTTTATCTATAAAAATCTTTATACATAGAAACTAAAAGAAAAATGTACAATATAAAAATGCATGCGGGGTATTAGAAGTGCGGATTTATAAAAGTTATAACTGAAGGTGGAGCCTAAATACAAAACTAATTACGAGAATAAAATAATAATATTATTCATTATTTTAACGATTGCATGCATGACCTTGAAAATGAAGTTTCTAACAACTAACAAAAATGCAAAATCTATACATACATTTTTAAATAGGTCATGCACGGTCAGATAAATCTAAGGTTTAACGAAAAGTTCGATCTTGTCCCACTGATGCAAAATATGTTTTTACGCCAGGCTCATGTAGACGGACCAAATATTTTTATGTCCTAACTACATGGGTATTTTAAATACTTTTATGCTATCTGAGTTTATTGAAACATTTTTAACGCAACTTTAGTAAGAAATGCCTGTTAAGTATTTTAACAAATTTAATGCAGATAAATAGTTCAGATTTACAAGATGTTAAAATACGAGTAACATCCGCATTTCAGGTATTTTCGAGGTTAAACTAAGAAAATACCTTGTATGTTATGTTATTGTTATATAGCTGTTATAGATGTTCCGATATTGCAATATTAGAGAATAAAGCGCAAGATAAAGTAACCACACTATTTCCAACTGCTAGACAAAAAGCCAAAAATAGCAGAAAAGAAGAGGAAAAGAAAAGAAAAATAATTTCAGGAAGATCCCTATGTCTATTTTTATGTATGAGAGAGTAATAAAACAGCATTTCTAATGCAAAACTTAGTACGGTCATTTTAAATATTTTTACAGAATAATCTAAATATTTCCTAAAATTGTAATAAATGTACCTGAGCTATTACAAGTTTTGGGTCTTTTATTGGTCCTTTATAAACATAAGCTGTACAGAACAATAGAAAAAGGTTTGGACAGGCCAAAAGCCCTGTGTATTAAAGATGACATAGCCGTATCTTAAGATTATTTTCAATAAGTACCTATTTGCCAGTTTTGTTTTATTTTAATTCCAAGAATTTCTTACAGTAATCGAATTATAAGTAAATAAATACCTTCTCAACAAATTTCACCGAAAATGCGATTATAGGTTTTCCATTTAGTAAGGAGGTCCAAGTTGTGTATTCTTGACAGATTACTAAATGTCGTTTAGTTGCAACTTGCAAGGTGCAATGTGAATTCTAGTGTGATCATGGAAAATTTGGAAGGGCCGCGTAAACGACAAAAAATCGGTCCTTTAACAGTTAATGAAAAAACATTAATATTTAATTGTTTTAAATCATTTATATAAAAGTGTTGATGACACAGTGAAATTAGTTAGTAGTACGCTTGGTGTTGGGAAATCTACGATTTACAGAGTCGTTAAAGAAGAGAAATGTGGCGAGTTTCAAACAGCACGTAAAGCTCCAGGAAAACCAAAATTTCAATTAGAAAATCTTTTGAAAGAAAGACTTCGAAGGAAAGTGCATGCGTTCTTCTTTAGAAAAGAATTTCCGACAGTAGACAAAGTTCTTGCCACGGTTTGAGATGATAAGGATTACCCTGAAATGAGTCGAAGCACACTATGGAAACTTTTAAAAGAAATACGTTTTCTATGGAAAAAGCATTCCAGAAAGTCTATTTTAATAGAAAGAAGCGATATTCTAGTATGGAGAAGAAATTACCTAAGGACTATAAAAGAAATGAGAAACCAAAGAAGATATATATTTTATTTAGATGAAACATGGATCAACGAGGGACATAAACCAAATAAATTTTGGCAAGATGAAACTGTTACAAGTCGTAGACAGACTTTTTTAAATAATTTATCTACTGGTTTAAATCCACCATCAGGAAAGGGGCGCAGACTAATAATAGTACACATCGGTAGTTCAAACGGTTTTGTTAAAGGTGGTTTATTGACTTTTGAATCTACTCGTACCGGTGACTACCATGAGGACATGAATGCTGATGTCTTTAAAGAGTGGTTCGAACAAATTATAGATCTTCTTCCTCAGAACTGTATAATAGTAATGGATAATGCAAGTTATCACTCGAGACTTATAGAAAAAATACCCACAACTAAGTGGTTAAAAAAAGATTTACAGAATTGGCTAAATTCAAAGAATATTAAGTTCCATCCCGGTTCTGTGAGAAAAGAACTGTATCATTTGTGTTCCCTTCATAAAGAGAAATTTAAAAAATATGAAATTTCAAAAAATCGTGGGATGACGGTGGTTAGATCACCACCATATCATTACGAAGTAAACCCGATTGAACTGATATGGGCACAGATAAAGGGAGAAGTTTCAAGAAAAAATAATTCTTTTAAAATGAGTGATGTTAAACAGTTGTTTTTGGAGGCTGTAAATAATGTGAAGCTTGAAACGGGGAAACGGCAGTAAATCATACGATTAAAGAAGAAGAGAAAATGTGGAAGTTGGACAATATTACTGACGAAATGATCGAGCCACTCATTGTAAATATTGGTTGCGACAGTTCATCTTCTGATATCGATTCTGATTTGAATTTGTAGATAAGAAGTAGTTTTTATATTAAAATTATTATTTATGAACGTAACGTTGTTTAAAAGTCAAAGTTTAAACCCTTATACCTACATAACCCGTTTAACACAATGTTCTTAACATACCTTGTGGAAAAATAAAACATTTTAGAAAAAATTGCACTTTTTTACCTTCAGCTGTTTAGAAGTTATAAGCAGGTTAATTAGGTGAAAATATAAGTGTATACTCGAGTAATAACTTCAAAAAATATTTTAACTGTCTACTAAAAGAAGTGGTACGCCTATGGATTACGAACGCTTTATTATTTTAATACTTTCTTATAGATAAAAATAGACTATAGTTGATAGCGTGTCAGCCAATTATTTAATATGGAGTAAATATAAATATTCTCCGTAAACTCGATAAAAAGTGAAAACAAGAAATTATTTAAATATATTGCTTGATAAGTATAAGATTGCAAATTCCATATTGCTTATTAATATTTTCTTTGCTGCCCTAGACACTGGTCATAGAAAATTTACAATCATTTGTATTAATCTTGGAACGTTACATATTTGCATTTAGTTATAGGAAGGTATTTCAACCGTTCTGTAAAATTTGCAATACTTTTCAAAATTTTCGGCGACTGCAAAATGTGCGAATTGTTGATTTTTGTTAATTTTTCAAGGTTCCAGACTTTGTCCGAGGTTGAAAATTTTCCAGATTGTTAAAAAAATAATATAAACATTTGCAACCAATTTTTAAAAGTTTTGATTTTTTTTGACAAAATTGGAGAAAAATAAAAAATATAATATAAAAATTTCCGTGCAAAATAGAAGGTTGCAAATTGAAATACTTCTTCCAAAAATTTTTATGAGTTACGTCATCGGTTTGCAGCACTTTTGCAAATTTTTTTCTATGATGCTAACAAAAACGCTATGTTACAAAAAAGTCATGTTCCGGACTTTCATAAAGTTGCAAATCTGATATAATGTTGAAAATAATACAGTATATGAACATTACCTACATATCATAGAGCGTTATATATCATTCGCAATATTTTTGACTGGAGACGTTGGATTATTTGTGTGTTGAAAGATATAGCACATCTCCAGAACTGAGTCCTGTAGGTCTAGATTGGCTTGGTAATACATTTGTAGATTAGAAGCTTGTTTTTAGGTGAGAGCTGTGATTTTTATCCAATGTGCCAGTACATCTGCCGAAGTATTAGGTTTATTTGCAATCTTTTCGTCATTAAGTGGGATTTCCATGTCAATCTCTGGTCAAGGGCTAGACCAAGGTGTTTTATCTCTCGCTTTAAGAGTCATCTTCCAACCGATCCCTTACTTAAAACTATCAGTGGGTGCGGGCCGTTGCAAATTTCACACTTGACGAAGGCGGGTCAATAGATTGTTTATCTATTAGTTTTGTTGTTAATAGATTTCAGTGCGAAGGGCGCCACATTACGGTTAGGTAAAAAATGTTACTTGCAGAGGGTCAGGCCGTGCGCGATTAATAACTTATTTTTTGACTTTTTTGAAGAAAGAATAATTTAGGACAAAGTTAAAGATTTGCAGCAGGGATATATAGAATTAGATTTTCCAAATTATTTCTTATAACGACATGATTAGCGCCTTAAAATACGTAATATTATCATCTTTTTCTATTTTGAATAATAGCAATGTTTAAGAAAAATTAATCATTTTGTTCTTATACATCCCTAGAAATACGTTTTCTTTCATAACCTGCACATGCAGTTTTAAGTAATTTTAAAAAATAAAGTTGTAATTGCGCACGAGCTTAACCGCTGTTTTTGGCTTAAAAATTCAGACGGAGGAATGACAACTGTACGTTGTCCGTTGTAACTCTGAGGCAATTAACGTTATTTGGGCTAATTTAACTTGGTTCACCTTTACTCGCCAGCAATTGATCCAGTCTTGGAGTTTGAGGTGGTTTCGGAGATTTTAATCTGGTGTTTGAGGATCTTCGTTTGCAGATATGATAGCAGTGTCATCCGCTAACGTCTCAGTTTCGGCATAGTTTGCTGTTGTGATGTCGGCAGTGAATGTTAGATAAGGGAAGGTTAGGTTAGGTTAGGTTAGGTTATTTGTCTTCTACGAACATACTTACTTTAGGATTTCTTTTATCGAACCAGAGGAATAATTTTATTAACTAAATCAAATTAAGAAACATTTATTTCAATCTAAATATTATACAAGAGCAAAATTTCACATATATCACAGAGCCCAAATTTTAATATAATCTATATTCAAAGTATTCTTCCCATCTTTCCAAGATGGTAACCAATTGTCTTTATCTTCATAAAACTTTTTAACTTGAAGTCTTTCTCCATTTCTCCAAGGTTTGGAGCCGTCTAGGCGATCATCGAAGTTAAATCCTCCCACTCCAACACCTACTTGAAGATACATCTAAAAAATTTAAGTTTTTATAACTAGAAACCTTTATGGCATAATATCTAAACTTGGTCAACTGTATAGGTATGTTACTTAAGTTAGTATTAATATTTATTATAATTGGAATTAGGAAAACTGACATCTCCGTCAGTCACATAGTTTTAAATATAACTATTATATTTTTCGAGCCCCCTCGAAATAAACCGCATTTTTATAGAAGTGGCCAATGAAGGCACATTAAAAGGCGACCTGAAAATGTAATTAGCTCAAAAACGGCCTGGGAATTCCTAAATCTATGCGACCAAAAAACAGTTATATGTACATGGGTCCTGGGATACAGTGGTATAAGGAGTAATGAGATAGCAGATAGTCTTGCAACAACAGAAGCTTGAGGAATTAATATCTGTACAAAATCAGGAGAGATCAGAAAATATTTAAATAGTAAAAGATTCTAAAAGTGGAGAGATCTCGTGGGGCTATCATACTTCTGGATGACTATGAATAAAAAAGATTGAATATCTATAATTGTGTAGTTTAGAATAAATTATGGATATTAAATGGGATTTTGAACGAACATTGCCGACTCCACGAGACTAGTAGTCGAAAGTAAGTGCAGATTCTGTATAAAGAAAGACGAAAACCAAATCCACATAATGTGTAGCCTTACATAATCTGAAAGCAGTATATTTGGGAGCATACTAAAAGGAAAGGGGCAATATAATTAATTTGGAACCATTTTAAATTCTAAACTTCTTTAGGGAAGTCGTGTCTACTTTCTCATCGTCTTCTTGATAATAACTTTTGAGACGCAGTGTATTTTACATCTCCTACGCACATAACATAAACTGTTAATTATAAAATAAAAAAAAAATTATAAAAACACATTCAAAAAATAGTAAATAAAATAATATGAATGAACCTTTAACCTAATTTAAAAGCAATTTAAAAACAAAACATTATACAGAATTAATACAGATATATCTTAAATTTACCGTTAATATGAATATATTTCTTATTTAACTCTAGTTTATACTAGCGATTCTATTAATACTGGTTTTTATACTAAAACATTTCAAACCTCTTTATCGAATGGAGCTAATGGCGACCCACTTCTCCAGTCCTCAGAATTCGGTATTTTTAAATCATCCGTTAATGATACGAATCCTGCTATAGGAGGTTCGATTATACCATACTCGATTCCATCAACACTAAGAAAAAAAGATTCTGAAAATATAAGTAATTAGGTAATTTTTTGGAATATTTAAGATGAAAATAAAAACTTTTTTATTAATAAATACTCTTTTCTATTGTTTTCTTAAAACTTGTTATATATTCTATGTTAATATTAGTAGAAATTGTATTATACAGGGTGGCGCATCCTATAAACGTAGATTATAAACAAATTATTCAGCCTCAACCTATTGTAGGAGATCATGATAATGCATTTTGGGTTATTGGCTCACTAATGGAAAACCCACACACAAGTCATCGGGCTATTAGTAGAGAAACTGGAATAAGTGGGAGAAATATTGGACGAATAATAAAAAACATAAATTTCATCCGTATAAGATACAGCTGCACCAAGAATTGTATCAAAAGGACTTCCAACAAAGAATCGATTTTTGTTTATGGGTTATGGATAAAGTAGAATCAGATGCGGATTTTTTTGATAATGTTGTTTTCGGACGAGTGCACGTTTCATGATAATGGACTCGTTAATCGCCATAACTTTCATTATTGAAGTGATGAAAATCCTCACGTCTTTCGTACTCTCGATGTAAGGTCGAATTCAATTAGACTAAATGGGCACCCTGTATGATGTAATGGAAAAATTTGCATTTTATTCGATAGTCTGATATCTTGGCTACGCATATCGCAGGTGACTGTTAATATGTTTTAAATAACCACGACATACTAGGCAGAGCTGGGTAATTCCTAGTTAAAAAGTAATTAATAATTACAATTACTTTTTTCATGTAATTTGTAATTGTAATTAATACTTTTTTTGGAATTGTAATTGCAGCAAAATATGTGGAGGCATTGTACTTTGTAATTATATTAATTTATATTATTTAAATTGTCTGAATACAATTACTTGTCATAAGTACAATTACTTTTCCAATTACAATTACTTTTTCAGTTACAATTACATTTATAAGTACAATAACATTTTTTAATTACAATTACTTTTAAATGCGTGTTTATGAGATGCATGTGATATAAAAACAAAAAAATCTTGTTCGAACCGGTCACTAGAGCTCGGACTCGCATCCACATCATTTGTTTGAATGCATTTGAGGAAAGCGTTGTGCCGTGAAGCAGTGAAATTGTTCAACCCAAAATAATAATAGCAAGGGACTAGTAGATGCATATATCCTTATTTCTAAGACGTATTTTGTATTTATATTATTGTACGGTAAATAATCTAGCCGTACAGGAAATACCAATTATATATTAAAGACTTTTATACCACTTGACTTTTATTAACTGACATATATTATTTTTTTTCTCTCAATCTATATACAAGGTGACAACATCAACAACTACTAAATAACAAGTGTATAAAATTTAAAAATTATTATAAACTAAGTTTTTATGGGGAAAATACTAAAAATCTACTTATTTACGTTGCGTAGGTATTTCTAGTTATTATTCTAGTTCTCTACATTGAAATGTGGGAGTAGAAAAAACATATTTTTCTACACCTACAGGGATATTAGCTTATCTACACAAAAAAAGGAAAAGTATGCTATTGCGTTCAACTGAACGAATATATTTCATATCTATTATAAGTAGTGTGAACACTGCAAAAAAATGAAATCCACCAATCACAGTTCATATTTTGTATACCAAACTACTATTATTTTAAAAATTTTAAATAAGTGAAAATTATTCTGTCAAACTATTTGTCAGTAAATTGTTTAGTTATTGAGATTAAATATACACTAATTGAGTTATTTTTGTTTAGAATCGATAAATAATAACATTTTAATTTTTATTTGGGCCACACTTTGAAAAAAAAAAAAAATAAATGTTAATCAAACTATATGACACTAGTTTAATTACGAGTATTAAAACCAAAATAAATGGTGGCGGCGGAGCAGAGGACAGAGCATCTACCTTCCATTCGAATAGCCCGGGTTCAAATCTGGACATGGGACTAATTTTCTTTTGCTTATTTTATTTAGTAAAAAACATAAATTATTTTAAAATTAGTTATTTTGTCTTAATAACCTAAAATATTATATTTCTTAAGTATATATAATGAGGAAAGCCACCTTTTTAAAATATATACTTAGCATGTCCCAAAAAAATGTGCCGTATCAAATTTTGTGGCATTTTATTAAATTTTTAGATTCTTCCTGAATACCTAATTTTATTAATCTATCAGACTTGATTTGTTAAAAAATAGAGATTTTTGAATTTTGAAATTTTTTCTGTCAAAACTATTCATAATTGATCAAAATGGCTAACTTATTCCTTCCTATCCTATTTTTTTATTTACTACCTCATAATATTTGATTAAAACAAATACGAGGTGGTCAAAAATTCATATTAGGTAAAATATAAAAGTACCTAGGCGTAGGTATACGAACTTTTGTATTTTTGTTGAAAATCAATAAACTTTTAAAGGTTCACATTTTATTATTTACCTCCTGTTCCATTTTTTATACTACATATCGATTTTGTCTTTTCCCTTAAGTTAAAGAGACCTTAAATGGTACACTTAGGGCTGGTTGTATAAAACTTACTTAAAATTAAGCTCAGTTTGAGGTGATACATGTCAATTTCTGATGCTATATGTGCAGTTTAATGCTTGGGTAAACAAGTTCTAAGTGCTAAATAGTACTTAGACTATACCTATGCCATACAAAATTTGGCATGTGTCACCTCAAACCGAGTTTAACTTCAAGTAAGATTTATACAACCCGCCCTTAACATATCTTTAACTTTAAGGAATCCTTAAGAAAGTCGTTGCAAACGGCTGTTAGTTTGATACTTTGAATTACCTATTTAAACATTTTATTTATACCGATCCGTGTTTCATGGTTCCTCAATTCTATCATAATTTGTTGTTTTATCGGCAAAGTAATTACAAAAGTAATTGCTAATTCCTTTTTGCATGTAATTGTAATTAAATCAATATAATTCCTATTTTTACAACATGTACTTTGTACTTGTAATTAATTCCTTTTAAAAAAAGTACTTTGTAATTGTAATTATTTTTAAAGTACATGTAATTACCCAGCTCTGATACTAATGTTATGTTGTTCAAACTTACAAATTAAGAATACTTTAAATGTTTAAAAAAAAAGAGATAGGTATAGGAAAGATTACAGAAACTTTACTTTATTTTTTTCAGGGAATCAAAAGACATCATCAAAAGACATCATGCCTTTAAAAAAACATAACTTTGATATAAATTCCTATTTTTGACTCACCCTGTATATTCAAAATTATTTTTAATTTGTAGTGTTAATGGCCCCTATTAAGAAAAAAATTCAAATTTTAAGCCGTTTTCCTTACAGAGACCGACGCGTATAGGATGCGCCACCCTGTATATGTATAGTGGTTTGTACATTTTTAAGTATATTATATCTGAGGAAGTATCTAAAAAACACCTGTAATTAATTAAGGGCACTCTTTTTAATGCATCTCCAACACATTTCTCCTGTACTTTTCACTTGCCGATATTTATAAAATTTATGTCCTTCATATAATATTAAAGGTTTACCACGTTCACTTAAAGCCAGGTCCAGATCAATAAATTTGTGTGCTGAATGTTGTGTGTTAAATTCCACAAAAATATTTGTGGCGCAAATATTTTTTTTATTGTGATTTTGTCGCGCAAATATGTGCGTTGTGTTGGTGTATCTATTGCGATCCATTTTCGTGCGTCGTGCATAGTAATAATTTGTGATTTAAATAATAGTACAAACTAAAAAAATATTCAAGTCCACATTAAAACAAGCACTCGAGGGTCGTTCGATGAAAATCTCTTTGAAGTTGGCAGATAGCGTGTATTGTACCCGGCGCAAATATTTGCGTGTTTCTTTGTGCGGCGCACAGTCCACATCTAGAAACACGAGCAAATTTGCGTCAAATACAATGCACAACGTAAATATTTATTGATCTGGACCCGGCTTAACATTTTATTCATTATCACAAGTCGCGTATCCTTAACAATTGGTTACAAACTACAAACTAGTTATTGAAAACAGGAATTATATGTAGGAAGATTTTATTTAAATTGGTATAATAAGGTTTTAACACTACTGTGGTATTAATACCATTAGGATTGGGATTTAAGTAATTAATTAATCATTGAGTGTAAATTGTAATTACATAGGTACCTGTGGCTTTTGTATATTACAAATAAATAAGAATAGTTCCAGGTATTTCAACTGTTAAAAATAAAATGTAATACCTTGGTTATTGTTCTAGGAGGTGAAAATATTTACTAAAAATAAATTATCTCTACATTTCGTCTCCCTACCTGGGTACCGACCTTAGCCTTCGTAGCGGAATTCGGTGAGGAGATTAAATATGTTCCAGACCCCAAAACTTATTAACCTGACCGTAGCGGAATTCGGGTGCACCGGTAATTAAACATAAACACAAAAAAAAAGAACCGATTTCAAAAAATTCACTTAAAAGTAAAAAAAAATTAATTTTATTACGGTTAATTAATAATAAATAAATTTTTTACCCTATCTTGGATGGGACCAACTTGGAGAACTCCCGCACAAAATGAGCTCAAAAACATTAAAATCTGTCAAGTAAAATATATATACCAACCTGGGGTCCATTTCAATTGGTATTTATGAAACGTATCCGACCATCTATTCATCCTGGTTATATTTCTCATTCCATAATTTCTGGCTTTAGTATTAAGTCCTAATATTATCCCACCTTTCAATTCTTGGTTATTTATTTCGTTACCTTCGGTAAACGCTATTCTTATCTGTCCAGACTCGTATAGTTTTCCATATAATTCTCTCATTGGATTCAAGTATAATACTAAAAGTTCGACTTATATACTCCCCACAAAAATTATCGCATCACTAAAATGTTTGCAATGTATGTTTATAAAAACAGGCAGTGCTAAAAAACTGCATTTCTCCTCTAATAACAGGGAGAATAAAACAAGCAAAAAAATAAAATTTTACGAAAAGATGAGGCTAAAGTAGGCTATTAATTATAACATGCTATTATTGCTGCTACACTCCACAGGGTATTACGAATTTTCCAACCAAAACCTATATTATTTTAACACCCGGTATACGCTCAAAAATTAAATATTATTTAAAGAATCAAAGAGATTACTATTCCTGAAGAATCAACTTATCTTCCAAAAAAACAATATCCAAATCGATCAAACGGTTCAGAAAAAACTCCAAATTTTTTAAAACTATTAGTGATGCGATAATTCTTGTGGAGTGTATATTACAATAAATGGGCGTTAAAAGTTTATATATTATCGCGAGGATGTACAAAAAGTTTGCATTAAATATTTTTGTTTCGTCACTCATCTGGCTTGTGTGTAATACCATTTAGTTTATCCACCTTTTGAGTAATTGATAAAAAGCGATTTTGTTAAAAAACTTTGATACCCTGTATCTAGAAAACGAAGCATGTTAGGATATACGATTATATGAAAACTTTTACAAATTTGAAATTTAGAGTACGGACACTTCGCTTGTTTAGCTAACCAATAACTGTTTTAACAATTTTGAATTTTTTTAAATTATTGTGTAAAAATTATTTTTGATATGCATAAAAATTTCAAGTAATATCGATCAGTCGGGTAATATCGACAATTTAGTTGGATAATATTTATCAGGGATGGGTAATTTCAAGCATCAAATTCACTAAGGTTAAACTACATAGCATATATTTATTTAGGTAAGAGATGTCTTACAGCTAAGTCAAAAAGAGAAAGTAGTTGGATTTACAATTTAAACAAATGCATGTAGCAGCATTATCTGCTACAGTGCAGTCTGCATGAGCCCATAGTCCACATAGACGATACAAACTCCAAACATACTGCACATAATTCACTTTGTGCTCTTTAGTGTACTATTGTGTCATCAGCCTTCTTCTTGACAACTTTTCCAGATTTTTTTTGGCTACCTCCAGTTGCCTGTTTCACTTTCTCAACCTCATTCTTTTTTTGTTTTTTTCTTTTCCTTATTTTCCAGTTCTTCTTTTAAAGGTGTTGATGTTAATATGATCGAGTGCTGAGATCTCATGCTTCTAGTTTTTGTATAACCACTGACTGGTAGTGCCGGTAAAGGGCATAATTCACCGAAAGATATACTGGACATATTTTATCTTTTAGCTTCACGGATTTATTTCTATCGTCGCCCAAATCAGTGTCTAAAACTTCCTCTAACTCTGATTCAGATGAAGAATCTTCTGACGTTGACGGTGATTTCAGTGTAGGCCCTGGTCTTGTTAGTTCATCTGGGAGAACCGGTCTTGGTGATGGTGTCCGATGTCTATCGGGCAGAGAAGAAGGATCATCTTGACATTCGTCGGCTACTGGTACAGACATAACTCTTCTTCGCAAAAAACATCGGGATTAAATGGAAAGATCCCTGTAGTTCGAAAACCATTTACAGCTTTCTCAATGATTCACTAGCCAATAAAGCAGCCAACCAAATACTTTTTGGACCTGGCCCTTTTATTGGCCTGACAAATTCGGTAGTGACAGGCCTAATTAAAGAACATTCCCTTGTGAAATTCAAGGAAAGATGGGATGAAAAAAGAAACTGCAGAGTTGCCAGGGAGCTTTTAAGTTATCCTGACAACACTGCAGCAAACAAATACTTGACTATGACTAGACAGAATATGCGCCTAGTCACAGGCATTCTGACTGGTCATTGCCAAGTACGGAAGCATCTCTATATCATGGGGATGTCAGAATCCGCACTCTGCAGAGGGTGCGAACAAGAAGACGAGACCACCAAGCATATCCTTTACGATTGCTCGACGCTCTCATTTTTTAGAAGATTTGTGTTCGGCGAGTATCGGCTAACACCAGCCGATATAAGAGAAGCACATCTGGCGACGTTGTCGTCTTCTTCTTCTTCTTCTTCTTCTTCTTTATTCTTTTATTGGGCTATGTTCTGAAGAACAATTTACTCAGACAACTCATTAGATTCCAGAAAACTATTCACAAAAGTTAATATAAGTGTTAACCGATGTAAATGGTTTTAACAGGAGTACAACATATATAAGATATTACAAATTAATTTTAAAAATGTTTAAAAACTTAAGTAACAGTTTAAAATTTGAAACGTGTGCGTATGTGTTTTGATTTACGGTGCGAATTAGACGAAATATGTGATCGATATTAACCTGCGGCCGATATTACCCCACCTTCTCCTATTATTTAAACCATAGACCATAAAAATTAACAATAGCTTTGAAGGCAGCCTCCTTTTCCTCGCCGACTGGTACTGGGTTCCCTTTTAATTATCCCCGTTTATTTGGTGATACATATTTGACATAATCACCTTCTAACTCCACAATATTTAATGTATTTATTACAACAGTCATAAGGATGTTGTAAATTTTTGAATTTATAGCTGTTGATCTGCAAATAATTGATTCTATATCACCTATTGATCAAGACCTGTCTGTGCATTGCAGGAAAAAGTGACATGGAAAGGGGTTGGTCAATCAATTCATATAGAATTTGATAAAATGTATGACCTAAAAGATCCATTGTACCTCCTTCTGTCGCCAATGCACTAAGGAAATGTCTCAATGCCTATAACGACCTTTCCTGTCCCATTTTCTCAAGAAAGTGTAGGATTTGAAGTGGCTTCAAGTTAGGTAAATCTCCCTCTTCTATTTGATATCCTCCAAGATATAGTGCCCTTGGATTCTGGAGTGCTACACATTTAGTTAAGATGTGAATGGAGGTTTCGTCCTCCTCACAGAATCTGCACTTACTATCCTCTACTATTCTCAGTTTACTTAGGTGTCCTTTTAGTCAGCAATACCCGGTAAGGATCCCTGTTACAATACGTAGCCTGTTCTTGCTCAGGCAGATGCAGGCTTCCGATCTTTTCTGGTTATATTCACCCAGAAGTATCTTGGCCTGTCTCAGCCCCAAGAGATTGTTCCAATTATCGGTTATTCTACTGCCCAATTCTTTTTTAATCTCTCGTAATATTAAATTACTGCTGATACCGCAGAACAGCTCAAGTCCTACAAAGGATGTTTGAGCCCCTTTCCTTATAAGACTATCCGCAATCTCGTTACCCTATACCCCGTTAGGTCCCGGGACCCAAGTGAGAGTAACTCTATTTTTGTCGCCTAGCTCATTCAATTGTTCTAGGCATCTCCAGATCATTTTTGAGCTGATTACGTAAGAGCTTAGCGCTTTGATGGCTGCTTGACTATCGGACAAGATGATAATCTCCTGTCTATGATAGTTTCTCTCGATGTTAAACTGGATACACTTCTCGATGGCGTAAATTTCTGCCTGGAAGATGCTTGGGTATTTTCCCAAGCGTTCGGAGTGCTTGGTTCTCGACCCATACACTCCTATTCTAGTTCCTTCTATGGTTTTGGAACCGTCCGTATACCACTGAATAGCACGTCTTTCGGTTCCAAGCGCGATGGATTCTTGGCTCCATTCTTTCTTGCAGCCCAGCTCTGTGGTTTTGAAGTTTTTTACAAAAGTGTACTTCTTTAGCATTTCATCCTGGGGCATGTCCCAGGAATCTTTAGTCCTGAAGCAAGAAGACTTTCGTCTGATTACTCCGTTCCTGATCATTCTGTATCGTGTCCTTTTTTACCGATACATACTATACTGTATACTATGAATATCTTTACCAAACATAATAGTCTAAGATCCGAAGTAAGGTCGACCTTCACCCATCTGTTTAATGGATGAAAGTTTCTTTTTATTAAATAAAATATATTTATAAATATACCGCAAATGGGTTGTCTAAGAAAATACGGTTCAAGCTATGTTTTTTCTTAAAGTAAAAAAAACGACACCCTGTAAAGTATTCCCTAGATGCTTCAACTATGCCCAAACTTAAATCAGCTCACCGCAGGATGGATTAAAGCTTAAGTTTAAAATTTGATGTTTTTCTATTTATCCGTTTTTGAGTTGTCTTCAAAATTCTAAATTTGCACTTTTCCTCAAATATCTCGAATTAGGTCCATTTTAGGAAAATCATGTATAGGAATAAAATAATAGATAATGACCTCATAAACATTTTTTATAATGATTTTTATACTTTCCTTATCTGTACACATAAAGGAAAGTAAAAAGTGGCCGTGACCGTATTTTCTTAGGCAACCCATTTGCGGTATATTTAAAAACATATTTTATTTAATAAAAAATAAGTTTTATCCATTACACAGATGGGTGAAGGTCGACCCTACTTACGGATCCTGGACTATAATAATTTATTTCTGAGGATTTTAAGAAATTAAGTAAAAAAAAAATAAAAAAAAATAATATTCGATATGAATCAAACTTACTAGGATATATCCAATCACCGGCAGGTAATTTTGCCCGAATTTCTACAAATCCATATCTAAAAGAAAATTTATTTTTTGTATTCATCTGAGCAGATGCAATAGGTGGTACCATAAAACCAGCATCTGGCTTCATTTTGCAGTCTTGAGGTTTGGTTTTTTCAGTGCAACTAGAAAAAATGATATCTTAGTAATGGCGATTAAACTGTAAAATGATCATCAAGTATAGGTATGAAAATGTCATAATTGGGAATATACGTTACAGTCAGTTGAACATTCTGGAACACGCACATATCAGACAGATACCTCTAATGCATGATTCTATAAAAAGAACATCTAATATTACGAAGATTTGAACCACAAGATAGTGAAGGACTGAGATACGGAGTCGTAGCTTTTAATTACTTTTAATGGTTGACAGTTAATACAAAAAGTTTGTTTGTATTAATATTTGACTGGTTATATCGTAATGCCTGCCTTGGTGTAATACGAACTTAATATTAAACTTATTGACAGTAACCTCAGCAACTGGGAAGTATTTTTATAATATGGTTTGACAGTTTTAAAGTCAAGCTACAAAACAACAAAGAAAATTATGAAATGATTTCTATAAAATGTCGAATGAACTGCTTTTTATTTAAATTGTAAATATATTATTATGTGAACGGTTTATTTTAAACATTTTGGGTAAGGCTATGGCACCTGAGTCGAACTCGAACCAAATTTTAATTTTATCCTGAATTAATTTGAAATTTTAGCAAAGCTGAAGCGTTCTAATGTTAAGTAGTAGGGAAAACGTTTCGAACACTTGCTGACCTCAACCCTATGGGTTTCGTTGTATTCTCGAACTGTAAATTACACTTACCAGCTTTGATACATCACTAACTATACTAAGAACTTAAAAAGAAAGTAATTTTTATAACCATAAATAGCTTTTTATAACTTTTACTGAGACCCTTCTTATGAGGTCTCAGTATTGCATTCGTGCACAAGAAAAAAATTTCTTATCCCCATTTTTTAAAACTTTTTTCATGTTTCCGATCATAGCCGAAAAATTTTCGTCTGGTCGTCTGTGTGTATGTATGCCGGCACGATAACTCTAAAACGACAGTTCTGATTGATTTGCGGTTTTGATTTTCTTGAATAATTACTTCTAACTTAGAACCCTATTGATTTTTAGAATTTTTGGTTCATCCTAACTACTTTAATAATAATGTTCTTAAAATCCGCCTATGCATTTCTTATATGACAATTTTAGGAATTCCAATTATTTTTAACGTCAACATTTCTAACATTCTCAACATTTCATAAATTGCAAACATTCTCTAACGACCTGTTAAACAACAGCTGTTAAAAGTAAAGGTGAAATTTCTAAGGCGGGTTACGACCTTTACACTTGCCACCATAGCCATTTTGGAGGCTATTTTCATTCGAAATTAGTCAAGCCTGTCTTTATGAAAAATATATTTTTAAAAATTACTTTTTTATGGTGGTGCTAACTTATGCGTACTACTATTTTGCCCCTAGCCACAAAAACACCATCAAATTTACTGGCCCTTTGTCGGAACCCCATAGAATAATTAACCGGCAATTTTATTTGGTCAGAATAATGCTTGGGTGTGCCTATCAAGTATCAAGATGTCAACTGTAATGTGTGAATGGCTCCTAATATCAAATTATTTAAAATTGTATGCTTCTTTTGATATTTATTGTAAATAATTTGTCGTGTATCTCAATTCAGGTTTTCCATAAATAAAGGTACAGCAAGACAGATAATATAATGTTCTTATACAAAGCACTTTTTTTGCTGTTTTTTTGTAGATAATTTTAATTATACGATTTTGGATTACATATTGCGAATTGTAAATAATAATTAGTAAACTCCTAGTCATAAACTTCCTCAATTTATAAAATTTGGAAACGTAATGTGATCAACCCGTTTTAAATTTTGATCAATTATGATACCGAGGTATTTTGTTGTGTTTTTCATTTTAATTATAAGGTTGTCATTTATTTGTATGTTGAAAGAAGGCCTTTGTAAATTACATTGCTCTCTATGGATCTACTTTAACACAAAAATAGTTTTGTGGCTATAAGTTGCTATAACTTATCGTCGCAAAACTATTAATAATTTAAACATAGTAAGTGGTATTAATTAATATAACATCAAGTAATTTTTTAAAATAAAGTATATGATCTCAAAACAGAAATAATTTATAATTAATGCGGGTAAAATAACAATAAATTAAGGGAAATACTTAAAAAGGGCAGGTTTAAAAAGTATTATTACAAGAAAGTATATCCGTTCTGTTTATTTATCAAGTATTGTTAGAGGTTACTTTTGAATATATTTATTATTGTTTTTTTTTTTTAATTTATGTAGGCAGTCTATTAAATTTTTTAAACCTTTAATAAAAATTGTATTTTGGGAACTTTTAGTGATGGCTTGCCGTACATGAAAGTCAGATTAGCTTCTTGTATTATAGTTGTGATATTGCGAATTATATTGAATTTTTTCTAATAGATCTGATGCGATGGTACTATGTCATTTTTATTGTATAAATAAATATCAGTCATGTACTGAACATAATTTCTGAACTGTAAGCCAATTTATTTCTTTTCTGTCCTTTATTAATAGAATATAAATAGGCGAAGTAAGGAGTCTAAGTATTTTACATGAGCAGGCTTAAGATGTAAAGGGGCCAATTATTATTGGATAAATTGCTCGAACAAGTTTTTAAACCCTAATCAAAAGGTGATATAGAATGGTTCTATAAATCAAGGCTTGTGAAAATCATTACATAGTTTAATCTAAGTAATGCCAATGCTTCACAAACCAAAAATTCAACGTCCTAATACTACTATCGTTTTTGTTACACTACGAGTTTACCCTTGTGGGTCTCAGTCTCGATAAGATGGGAACCGTCATTTTAGCGTCTCTTGAATTTTAATTCTGATACGGTATGGACATTTCCAGATTACGTATAAAATAGTAACCTTATACTGGGCAGTGATTCAATTAATCATCTACCCTAATCATAAAACTTTTGAAGAAAAACATTTCTAAGGTACTATCTTTTTTAGCAAATATTGTTTTACACTTACTTTTTGCCAAGATCGATGCCATCTTCAAATATTTTCGGTCCAAATATATCTTCGATTAAAACCGGTTTTATATTTATACTGGCACCTCTCATTATTTCTCTAGTTTCTGCACGATCTACGTAAACTACAAACTCATAATCCTGAAAGAGAAATCATGATAGTAAAATAGTTTCAGTTAGTTCAAATAAAGTCCTTTTTACTTTCTTTTTCGCATATAGATAAGGAATAATAATTTTTAGTAGTAAGTTTTGTTATCGGATTAACTAGTTAGTACTGGTTTCTAAAACATTTTTGTCTGCGATTCATTGGGATCAGATTAACAAAGAAGTAGAATGAATAATAGCGAAAAGCAGAAACAATAGAGAAAAAAAAAAACGAAACTCTCTCCAGAAACCTCCTCTGGCCAATCTAGAGGTAGCAAAAATCTATAATAAGATAAATAGTCGAAAACACAGCGAAATTTTCCCCTAGAATAGCAAGCAACATCATTAAACCTACAATAATGACGAGGCAGAGAAAATCCATAAACCCTACTGTCAGAAATGAAAGAACATATTTCCAGGTAACAAACTGACAATTCAAAGGTCACATACAACAAATTGCGCAACATATTGCACAGTCAGCGAGCCTGGCAGAAAGTATTACTCATGAACTATTATTATTATTATCCTTATTAAGCAGAATATATTCCCTGTGTGATAAGCTCCAGAAGCTAGAAGAGTTAAATAAACTTCAAATATAAAACAAAACCACCAATTTACAAAAGAGATATTAGAATAGCTACTTGAAATGGCAATGGTATTCTCCAAAAACAAACTGATATCCCAGTTTTCTTGAACGTACAAAAGATAGATGTATATTTGATTTCTGAGAATCTTTTATTAAATTCAGGGTTACGACTTTTATCACAGTATCCACGCATCAAATGCAGCAGGAGGAGGAACTTGTAAATTTGTAGTTTTGAAATTCATTTTTTATTATTTATTATTGAACATACAAATTTTGAGATAAAATTTAAACTCGTGTCCAAATTTGCCTGATACCGGACCTGTTTTTTTGCCGATTCCAACATAGCGACGACTGGCAACGTCTCGCTTCATGTCTTGCAGTATACCTTCGTACCCAAACAAAATATACATTAAAATGTGGTATACTTACAGGTGCTCCAGCAATTTTCTGATCGATATTCCAAATATTTTTCCTTATAGATTCGAAATTTTCGTTAAATATTAACTGATCTTTACACATTTGTTTTCCTTTCACGTGTGTAACCGATTTTATACATTGCTTAACATTATTTTTAGTCGATATTGTTGATTTATGATTTACTTCGCTTTTTCTGTTTAATTCTTTAGAAGACTCCTTGTTGTTTTTGGAAACTGAAAAGTCTTCTTTGGCATCTAAAATATATGCAAATTGACAGATTAATATACAGTGAGCATCATAAGTCTTACCCCCCCTATCTAACTCCTTACTGGAATCTTCTTAGGAAAATCGCCGAAACACGTCGATTTTTGATTTCAATAATGTACATTTTTGATGAATAGTTTTTCCTTAATTTCATCCCTTACTGGAGGGGAGCAACCCTTTCCAAAAATTTAATTGGCATGGGCTGGTGAGTGATAGCTCATTTGAAAGGGGGTTTTATTCTCTATTCAACCATGCGAAAAATTTTGAAATTTGCTTCATTACGTGTTGATTTATTAATGTTTAAAAATAACAAAACATCACAAATAGGAAAGCAACTAAACTAACAGTAACCTTATCTAATGGCAAAAAGTCTTACTTCACGTCTGAACCAAAACCGATATCATGCAGGGCTGCATTTTAATTATAGGGATGAATGCGCTACGTTAATTTTCTTTATTCTGTAACAATAATTAGTCGAGAATTAATGAAGCAAATTTTAAAATTTTTTGCACGGTTAAATAGAAAATAAAACCCCATTTCAAATGAGCTATCACTCACCACCCCATGCCATTTAAATTTTTCGAAAGGGTTGTTCCCCTCCAGTAAGGGATGAAATTAAGGGTGAACTATTCAAACAAAAATGTACATTGTAGAAATCAAAAATCGACGTGTCTCGGCGATTTTCCTAACAAGACTCCAGTAACGAGTTAGATAAGTGGGGGAAGGACTTACGATGCTCACTGTATAAATATTTCTATTTTAACTAAATTGACAACCTTAGTATAAAACTTGTACACTCGGGATATTTAGTGTTACACCCCAATTATTGTAAAAGACAAATCCTTGAGATCAAACATTAAAAAAATATAATATAATATAATAAAACAAATATAAAATAATATTTGTTAATCGCTTATTTTAATTAAATCAACTAATTGTAAGCTATTTAATTTTAACTGTAACGCCACTGGTAATTTTTAATTTCTGTAAAAGCTCTTTATATTAATAATAATAATAATAATATTTTTATTGACCATTTAAAATACAATATTTGAAAAAAAATAAAATACAATTTAAAAAAAAAAAGTACCAGAAATAAACATGGTCAAAAGGTCCTAAGATCAGCTCAAGCTGTTCTTCCTCAAAGGCCTGCAAATGTAATCTAAACTAATCTAATAGGGTGTAACACATGTATATAATAAACAGAACTAAAACAAACAGAAAAGTACTATGGGCCGTTTGCATCGCTGGTCATCAAGAAACAAAAGACTTTTATTTTTTAAGGAAAGATAATAACGACGAGCGGTGCCGATGGATCCTAGTAATTTATATAAACCAAACAAAATCAAATTACAAACTTACAAATTTGTGAATTGGTCATCATATAATATTTTAAACATTTTTGTTTTAAATGATGCTGTGGATAAATTAATTAGGGAAACAGGAATATTATTATACTCCTTTGCTATCTGGTATGAAAACGAGTTTTTAAATTGTTGTGTTTGGTGTTTTGGAATATCAATAGAATTTTTTTTTCGTGTATTTCTACTATGAACATCAGAACGATAAATAATTTTATTCCAAAGATATGGAGGACTTTTTTTAATTAAAATTTTGTGAAACAGGGTTAATGAATGAAGTTTTCTCCTGTTTAACATATTTAACCATCTGGCATTTGCTAGTGTATGGGAAATTCTATCAAATTTTTTAATCCCATGTATAAGTCGAAGGCAGGCATTTTGTAGTTTTTGTAACCTATTTGAATCTGTTACTGAAAGACAAGGTCCATATACAAAATCACAATAATTTGCATTACTTAGAACGAGAGAGTCACAGAGTTGTATCTTTAGTTTTTTGTCAAATAAATGTCTGCTATGATATAAAGTTTTTAAATTAAAAAAGGATCTTTGTAGAACATAAGAAACATGATCTGTGAATTTCAGTCGATTGTCTAGTATTATCCCCAAATTTTTTGCTTTTTGAACAGTTGGTAGAGCCACATCATTAATTTTTATAGACACGTTAGAAGAATCAGCTCCAAAAAACATAACAGCTGATTTTTCTGAATTAATCACCAAATTATGTTGGGTAGATACTTTCACCAAGGCATTTAGATCGGTATTTATTTTCTGAATGCACTCTGATTCATCGTTTTTGTTAAAAAACATATATAACTGCGTATCGTCAGCATACATATGAGCTTTGCAATATTGTAAAACCGAACACAAATTGTTTGTATATATTGTATAAAAAAGAGGGCCTAGGATTGAACCTTGGGCTACTCCTCGCCCAACTTGCTCTACGCTAGACGATACACCATTATATAATACTTTCTGTGTTCTTCCCGACAGATAGTTTCTAAGAAATGTTATTGCGGTTGGTCCTAAGCCAATAAAATGCAAAATGGATAAAAACAATTTGTGATTAATCATGTCGAATGCTTTACTATAATCAAGCAGAATTAATAAACCAACATTTTTGGCGTCGGATTCCTTCAGAAAGTCATCCGTAATATTTAATAGGGCCGTACCACAGCTATATCCCGATCTAAATCCCGATTGTGTGAGTGGTAGAATTTTATATTTATCAATGTGTTCTCGAAGTTGTTCCTCTACAACTCTCTCCAAAACCTTTGAAAGTGTAGGCAGAATAGTTATGGGACGAAGATCATTTAAGTTTTCAGGGGAAGTGACTTTTGGAATAGAAAGAACTAGTCCCTCTTTCCATATATTTGGGAAAACAGAATTTTTTAGACAAAAATTTATAATGTAAGTTATATGTGGAATTAGGTAGGGACAAAGAAATCTAATTAATGTGACATTAATTCCATCGGTTCCACAAGCTTCGGTTTTAATTTTAAGAATAATTTTAATTATATTATATTCATCTATTTCTTTAAATTCAAGTAGATTTTCAAAATTTCCTTTAAAGTTGTTTTGGTAAAAATTTTGAGTTTCCGGGTGAGGGTTAATGACAGAACCATTAATTTTCAAGAAGTTTTTATTGATGTCATTCGCATCGAAATTCGAGGAAAGTTGAAACTTATTACTATTCTTATATCCGGTAAACTTATTTATTATTTTCCATTTTTGTTTATTATTGGCATTAGAAAATTTTTGATTGAAATAGATTTTTTCTTCTGCACGTATGGCTTGTGTAATATAATTTCTTAAATTCTTATAATAATCCCAATGAGATTTTTGTTTTGTTTTTTTTGTATTTAGTAAACGCCTTATTTCGTAAATTAATTATAAATTTTATATTGTCAGTGATCCATGGTTTAGGACTATTTTTAAAGGTTATGGTCTTAAGTGGAGCATGTACATCGAATATTGCCCTACTAATTTTTATAACCCAAATATTAATATTTCAAATGCATCTACACGATATTAAACTGCTAATATATGATTTTCCGAAACATGTTGTGCTTTCAATTACAAACTTTTAAGTGACTGATTTAACCAAAAATCTTTTTTCTATTTCTAAAATATTATTTACCTTCTTTAGGATTTTCATCATTAAATCCAAATCTCACATCTATTGCAGGGTTTTTATGTTTGTCATATTCTTTATGAAGCGTTTCTATAAACTTTTGTCCTTGTGCATTTGTCCAAGCATCTGTAAAAATAATATTTAAAAATCGTTGAGCCACAAGTGATTGAGGATAAATTAATATAATTTTCAATTAGTCAATGAAATGAATGAAGTTACGCATGTGCAAGTAATAATATTAGAAAAAAATATTGATTGCGTAGATGTTTTACCAGAACATCATTTTTGTTACCTTTTTTGTGTACCGAAGTAGTTCTGGAAATTTTACAGGCATTAGGAAAAATACATGTTTTCAAAATTAAATTAAAAATATAGTTTAACGAAGTGACCAAAATTAGTGCACAGTCCCTGAGAAGAAACTCATTGACATATTGGGCTTAAGTTTTTTTAGGGCTTCAATAACATCTTTAGATACAGAATTAAAGTAAAGCAAAGGCAAATTAATGGTAGCTGAAGTTATTTATTTGAGTTGGTTAGAGAAATTGTTTGAAAAATGATCTGCAAAAGCTTAAATAATTGTCTGTGGATCTTCTATACAGTTATTATTATATTCGACAGTAGTTGGTATGGAATAGGAAGAATTTTTATTTATTTAAAGTTTTAGTTCTGATTTAATCATTCTTGCTTTCATCGACAATTTTAATTTTATTCTTGCATCTGTTGTAAATAAAATAAGGATTACAAGATTTGTGTAGTAATTTAAATTCAGCATCACTTAATAAAACACAATCTGGATCGTACCAATTACCGCATGGATCCTCACAACTGATTTACATTATTTATGTATATGTGTACAGTTGGTTTGCACCCAACAGGTCGGAATCGAGAAACGAGCAGTAGATAAATAACACCGGCACAAAAAAAATTAAGTTGTCAGTACTTTTGACAGGAACGGTATATCTTTATGTATTTCGACCCGCTGAATCCGAATCTGAGGTCCATTTGACCCGTATACCGTCAAATTTTCGAGAAAACTTTGAAAAACCGAAACCGATTTTTTTCATTTATTCGGTTCTTCAAAGTTTTCTCGAAAATTTGACGGTGTACGGGTCAAACGGAACTCAGATTTGGATTCAGCGGGTCGAAATACATAAAGATATATCGGTCCCGTCAAAAGTACTGACAACTTTTTTTTTGTGTGCACCGGTGCGCCAATATATTTATTCCAACACATTAAAGGGAAAATGGAGGCCTTTAAGTTGATTTTATGGCTAATAAAGCCCGCTTAACAAATCATTAAAACCTTTACATTATAATTCGTTGCTTGTTAGGGGGCGTCCATTAATTACGTGAGGTGTTCAAGGGGGGGAGGGGATAAAACTAAATCTTTCTTAATCTCACTTGGGGGGGAGGGGGGGTTTTTCGTAAATCTCACGTAATTTTTTTCTAGTAGAAAACGGTATAAAATTGCGTGAAAGTAAAGTTAAATTATAGTATTTCTAGAATAAAATATGGAAAAATCTTATAATTATGTTTATTTATTTTTTATTAATTTCCATTTAAGTATTTATCATTTAATTTTATTAATGTGATTTTAAATAATTGCAACACTCTCAAACACTAGTCTTTGCTAGTCTTAAATAAAAGTAATGGAACATATTGTGTTTTTGTTTTTTTTTTTTAATAATCCAACACATTTACACCCAAAACACAAATTTTGAAAAATCTCACGTGAGATTAGGGAAGGGGGGGAGGGAGTTAAGGAAAATCTTACCAAATCTCGCCAGGGGGGGAGGGGGAGTCAAAAAATCCTCAAAAATACCTCACGTAATTAATGGACGCCCCCTTATAACTTTTTACTTATAATAAAATTTTGAAAATATTAATACAAATCATATTTTTTTTCTTTTAAAATGTTTAAAAATGAAACTCCTATCGACAATTTTTTTAACATACTCGTGCTGCTACTATACATTAAACCATTAATTACCTAAACCAACCCTGGCATCCAAAACGAATGTTTAGAAGAAAGTCATATTTAATAAGACTGATTGAAAATAATTAAAATTGGCAACACCTATGCCATACCCATTTAAAGTCCAAAGTCATAAAAATCTCATTTCAAAATCCTTTGATCTTTTGCCGGGTTTCGCATCTGTTGTGGTTCATCTGTGCTTTTACCACAGTTGATAGCTAAAGAATCAGTTCGCTCACTCTGCGTCGGCACTTTTGATTTCAATGTTCCAGTTTATACATTGCGCAACTCGGATTTGTATTCCTGGCGCATACAGAATCAAATCATAATAGCCCAAGGGCCCACTGCAAATTTTTACCGCCATCTGATAATGAAATAAAATATACCCCAAAAGCTTGTAAAAACATTGTACTTTACCAAATGGCAACTATGCTAATCCCAATCCTAAGCAAAATGGTTAAAAAAATATTTTATATTAAAAATATCACATAAGGCATGACAGCGCTAATTTTGTTTGCCCTTAAAGTTTTCCAGATAATAACATATTCAAATATATCTTGATATATATTGTTAACGGGAAACATTTTCTTCCTCTTAACATCGCACAAAAACATCTACACACGATTAGTAGGTAAAAATCATTAAAAATATGAATCAATTTTTGATGATTTAAAATAGTATATTATGTTACTAGGAGTAGAAGGCCAACATTATATATGTTGAGCCCAGAATTTTGCACAGCTGAGGCGTTAGCCGAAGCTGTGCAAACTGGGCGAAACATATAATGGGCCTTCTAATCCGAGTGACATATACTATTTTTTCTTCAAGCATTTAAATAAAAGTATGGATAAAAATAATTAAAATAAAAAAGCTGAAATTAATAGAACATCTGTAAAACTAAATAACAGTTTAAACAAATTATGTACCTACCTTAGTTGCTAAATATCTCTTGTTTGATGCACTCTTAAGAAAGTTATCAAACTCCTGTTTAGAAAAAACGTTTGACTTCTTCGGTTTGTAATTATCACCTTTTCGTTTTAAGAAGGCAATTAATTTTGAGTAGTTTTCAATTTTTACATTGTTTAATATTTAGTTCTGATTTCAGCATTGAATACTGCGACCACATTGTTGAACTTTTGAATTTTTTAGACAAATTAGTAAAATATGAGATCAGAACATTTTCTGAATAAAAATGTACGTGATTTTCTTCACTTCGTTTCACAAATTTTGTGTAAGCATAATCGTAAACTTTCTTCGATTTCGTAGGTATTAAGGTTTCTATCGAAGATTTGGCTATTTCTAGCAATTCGGGAGGTGTTGATTGCATTTCTTCTGACATTTTCTTTTTACTTGAAAAATACAGGTATAACGAACGGGTTAACACTATTTTTTTTATATTCTAAATCATACACTGACAAACGTCAAATTAAATAAGTATTCAAATGACAGTTCCAGCCCTACTTGATTGCAACGTTCATAATAAGCCATTTAACATTAGGTTTGTGCTTTTTTATGCTAGTACAAAAATGAAAAATATTTGTACTAGTATAAAAATAGGCTACTTCTACAACACGTGTACCTTGATATAATGTGAACATTATTATACGCTTGAAGGTGCGTCATGACCTTAACGCTAACTGGTGACAAAAATTTGAACTTTATGGGGGATATTTATTAATATTTTATACAGCATTTATTGTTTAATAATTATTAATTAAATAAAGTCGAATATTTACGTAATATCATTATCGAAAAAACTTGTTGCATCCGTGGATGTACGAACACATTACTTTGGAAACCTGTATTTCATTCGATAGTAAAGAAATTTTATGAATTTCCACAGAGCAGAATTAGCGTCTCACATCCAATGATATACATAATTATATAGATTGCTTATCCATATGTAAATCAGACAACGAAAAACGTATTTCACTGGGCAAAGTTTTTTTTTATCTAGCTTGTATCAATTTTGAGCACTTAGTTGTAAAGAAATCATTTACAGAACCGGTTTAGAAATTAGAATCTTTAGTGTTTTCTTGTCATTAAGATTTTTACATATTTAAATGAACATTTTATATAAATATAATTTTACAGATAATTAATGGTTTATTCTGTTGATTAAAACTAATGTAGAACGTTACTATGAAATAAGTATGTCCAATTTGACAAAAATATCATTGCCTTCTTTACAATTTATTAACTATTTCTCATTTATTACTAAAATAAACAAATCATAAATAATACATTGCAAGTGCTGTCAGAAGAGATTGCAACAAACTTTAAAATATTAAAAATCCAGTGATTTTTGTAAATTTTTTTAGTGACATTACCATTAAAAATTATTCAGAATAATCCAATTACAAATCTTACCAAAGTTGTTTATATCTCATATCAAAGTTGTTTACATTTTCTTTTCGAAATTGTATTACATATTGCAATTATGTATTATATATAGTGTTATTTCTGAAATGAGAGTAGTCTAAAGTTATTTATATCTATCTGTTTTAAAAATTGTTTAGATCTCTTAATATTATTTAACTACGTGGAAACTCAACTGTCCAAATACATAATAACGTGTCTTGAAGTAAAACTTTAATTATTTTCTTTTTCTAAAGATTAAAATGCTGAAATTTTATATTAAAACACATTTGGGCTAGAACGGCTCTATTTAGTGAGCACTAGGAAAGGTACATTGCAACCCGCTTTTCGTAATTTTTTATAGATGGGTGAGCAATCTATAATATGTATATCACTGGGCGTCTCATAAACGTCAGTGGATGAATGACATTTCGTCTAACATAAAGCTAAAAAGAATTATTATTATTCCCAATCTTTTTTATTAATTTACATTTTTTAAATGTTATTGTAAATTCAGTGTTACTAAATACCGATATTTTGACATTGGATACACGTGTTTGAGGTACAACTTTACAATTTATTGTCACTTTGTCATTTAAATGTTTTTGCTTAAAATGTATATGCATGTCCAGATTTTAATAATGTTTTACATTTTATATCATTTTGACCATATACTCGATTGTTTGGTACGGACCGGTATCTATATTTAACTATATTTAATATTTTAAAAAATATCCTTTATTATTTACTTGCAATGTTTACCCCATTTAAATCTAAAATTAAACACTAGAGAGGGCTAACTTCGGCAGTAGTGCTGCCTCTATATTTCACGCACGGTCCCTATTGTTGTGATTTTTTTACAGATTGCCATAGAAACGATAAAAAAAAACTACTAGGATTATTTAGAATCAAACATGACAATCTCTCAAAGTGAATAGCAAAAGCGGCAATCTCCATTTTTACTTATATATTATTATTAGAACTGTCTAACAAGAGTTTATAATTATTATTGACTATTTCTGCAAATGATTTATATAATGCCATCCTTTTTCCTTTCACACATACACATGGTTTAAAAGGTAGGTAAAAATATTAATAATTCAGGTTTAAAAGAGGTTCACAATGAATTAGGATTGTAATTTTCAGGGAAAACACAATTATCGCTGTCATGTCTTATGTAATTTTTTAAATATAAAATAATTTTTTTAACCACTTTGCTCAAGATAGATTGGCACAGGTGCAATTTGGTAAAGTACAATGTTGTTACATATCTTTGGAGCATATTTAATTTTGTTATCAGATGGCGACCGTAATTTGAACTGGCTCTCTTACTTTCCAACGACCTGTCAAAACAATACCTGCCAGTGAGAAGGTCTGGTATATCTTAGGGGGTAGCGACATATTCTTGAATCTTGAACGTTTTTTTATTCGAAATAATAGTCACCAAGTCTGCTAATTTATGAAAAAATGTATAAGCGGTTTCTTATTTTTATTGTGTCTGACATAAAATATTTAAATGTAATCCATTATTCATGACTTAACGTATTGTAAACAAAATACATCGTATGTCGCAACCCTTAGATATATCAAATCTTCCCACTGGCAGTTCATTTGTTTGAAATGACTAATACAATATATGACTACCGCCTATATTCAAACAGCAGTCTTCTGCGCATCCTGAATTTGTATCCCTGGAGTGGATGTTATTTTGGAACATCCAATTGGTCCGAGTGAGCTAACTGATTCTTTAGCCATAAACTGTGCTTTTACTGAGAATTACAACAAGGTGACGGGTCAACTACACTGGTTGCATAAATATATCTTTTTGACATTTGCTGTAATTACAAAATTAGAAAATCAACCTTAACACATTCTGTTGGGAATTTGCAAATATAGTTCACATTGTTTTTTATAACAATTAAAATAAGTGTTACAAAGATTCTAATGTAATTTTTGACTTACTTTTACTCCCTCTGTTGTATGTATAATGATTGCTACCGTGATTAATTCCAATGGGGCGAAACATATTATTTAAATAACCATTAACCATTTCATCTGTCACTCCGTTACCTGTCGAAAAAAAAAATTAACTATAATTTATAAACTCATAATATGATTACTGTTATTTTAAATGCAAGTGGAATGAGATTATTAATAATGCCAATTTTCCTTCGCTTGTCCTTGATATAATTATGTAGTTTCCTTGAAACACACTCATCAGCACGTATTTTTTTTCTAGAATAAACGAAATGTCCAATATTTACTGTTCTTAATCGTGTACTAAACCATATATCATTCCTCTTTTCGTGCTTGTCAGCGACGGACTAAATTATATTTTAAAGTATTCTTGTATAAATATAAATCATTTTGAAATCGAGAGATTCTTGATGATTTTTCTGTTTTTCTGGATTTATACAGTAAAGAACGTGCGTTGTCCCTTCTGAATGCTTGTTCAGTAATTCTACATAAAAATAATATCTTTTAAAATACCAGGCGATATTTTATAAGAGGAAATCGAGCGATTTTATTGAGACAAAATACTCATTTAACCTTGTCTTTATAATAGACAATTTATGTTTTTTAGAATAAATAAAGTTCCCGATTTGTTTTTTATATAAAAGTAAGATTAATTAAAAAACAGCCATATTATAAATGAAAAATATTTATTTAAACTCTAAAAATTTATTTTGTGTTACACACTAAAAACAATATCGGCCAAATGGCCACCCTAAGCATTAATGCAATAATGAGCTCTTTTTAAAGCATTTTTTATAACTTTCTCCAACATTTCAGGACAATTTCTTCCCGGATGTTGTCTTTTGATGCTTTTAGTGTTCGAGGATTATTTACACCCTATCTTTGAGATAATCCCATAACCAAAAGTCTGGAACAGTTAAATCAGGAAACCTTGACGGATATACAATATCGGCGTTTTTCGAGACAAGGTGTTCAGGAAAAATTCTAATAATCGACGAATTATTTTAATAAAATTTTTTTTACAATTTTGGCACGTTCTCGAGGCGTATATCGATTCATAATGAATTTCTCAAGTACATATAAAAGGTACGTGAAGTTAAAAAAAAAAAAACATAAATAAAGTAAAAAACACTTGTTTAGAAAAAATAAAAACCTTAAAAACATACAAATAGAAAAGGAGAATAGATACATCAAACTAAAAACTAGAATTTAAACAAAAAATGAATACTTTTGATCATTTGGAGTTTTTGGGATTAGTCTGAGGATTCGATGGTACAGAAAAATATTAAAAATACTAAAAATTGGTACTGTTATGTAAAGGTAAATAAAACTGGAGGGATGAGTAAACATAGTAAATAAATGTGCAAATAAGAAATTTCCTAGTTTCTATTAAATTGATAATAAATGTTATATTACTATTTTTTAAAAATTCCTCAAATGTTTTTTAAAATTAATTTTACTATTTATAAATTTTAATATTCTAGGAAGTGACTTATGCAATTTGGTTCCAATGTAAGAAAATGCTTTTTGTGATAATGTCTTTTTTACAAATTGATAGGTATGAAGTTCCTTACGTCTAGTATGGTACTGATGATCCGGATAAGGTCCTTTGTTATTACTATAATGGTATTTTAAGCATATGATAAAGTAGAATAATTGCCGTAAGTCCATAATTTCAGATATTTTATAAAGATACCTACATGAATATTTTTATGAATCTTGTTTGGACAATTTTTAGAAGATTTATGTGAATACGAGCTGCTATTTCCCAGATTGGTATTCCGTATCTAAGATGACTCTCCACAAGTGAATAATATAAATTTTTATGAAAATTGTTTAAATAAAAGTTGTTTGTTATATAATTCTCTTTAATTTATGTTCCTTATATAATTTCTCTCAAATGGACTGTATTCGAGATATTTGAGAAAAAGTGAAAATTTCGAATTTTAAAGAAAACTCAAAAATGGATAAAGAAAAACACATTACATTTTAAACTTAAGCTTTATTCCGGCATAAGGTGAACCGATTAGATTTTGGACATATTCGGAGCATCTGGGGGGTACTTTATAGAGGGTCGTTTTTATATTTTATGGAATATATTAGTTATTTTTGTTTGGAGAAGAAAATTCTTTAAATAAAAGTTACTTCCAATATTATTCTCTATAATTTTTGTTTTATACAAAATTTTCCTAAAATGGTCCGTATTCGAGAATTTTTCAAAATGTAAAAAAATCTCATTTTTAAGAAAATTGTTGAACTAAAAGATGTTTGTAATATCGATCTCTATAATTTTTGTTTTTTATATGATTTCTCTAAAATGGACCGTAATGGAAAAATTGGAGGAAATGTATAAAATTTAAATTGTTCAGTATTTTTGTTGGCAATGAGGGTACAAAGAAAAATGTTTCGAGTAAGATTTATGTGGAAAAAAGTATATATTAAGTTAACCTCTAAGTACAAAATAACCGAAAAGAGCCTGTAATAACTAGATAGGAAAGTCATGTGTTGGACACATCAGATTTTTTCTCCTGCGAAAGGCTTTTTCATAAGAATTCTTATGTTTACTTTGTAAATGTCTTTTAAAGACTTAGAGTGGCCCCATTTAGCATTTTAATTATTGTTGATTTTCTTGTACACAAAGTACATATTGCTGCTTTGTAAGTTTTGCTCTGTTTTTGACTAATTTTAAAAAAATAAGAGACCTTTATGTTTTTAATTGTTTTTCGGGACTTAATTCGAATATGTTCTTCGCAAGGACTGCTACCTTATATTCGGATCCGCTGTCTTGAAAGGGTTCCTCGATATGTGATATATTGGTGGCGTTCATATTTGTAAATACTTGCTTCGAAAGGCTAGCAGTGACTGAATTGAACAACAAAATAAAGGGCGGCGAGAGAACGGTTAGTAGACTTAACACGTGATCGGCAAGGTGGGGGAAAAAGCTTGAAAGCTTGATAAAGTTTGGTAAAGCTTGAAAAAGCTTGGTAAACAAGCCAAGCCTGGACTTATGAAAATCAAGCCAAGCCAAGCTTTTTGTTTTCAAGTCAAGCTACTTGGCTTGGTGAAACACTGGTTATAAATTATATACAGAGGCAAAGAAAAAATATGGTTTTTAGCATGTCTGGACAAAGGGGGGACGAATTTTTGTCAAAGAAAACGATATAGTTAAAATTATCAATAACCCGAGTGACATTAATTAATTGAAGATTTAAGCCCATATACTATTGAACGTATATTAATCGGTGAAGATGTTTTGTAGTAAGACACTCTTTAACTATGTACTTATCTACATCCAAATAAATATACGTTGTTTTTACCTTTATTTCAGATAGTTTTCAATTAGTTAAAACTGTTAAATATATATCTTTTTCTTTTAAATTAATCGATATTTTAATCGATTAACAGGTGTTGTTTTGAATTATGGAAAGAATTGATAGGTAAATTTATTTTATTATCAAGTCACTTTGGGAAGAATAATAACGTTATTTTTGTATGAAGTTTTAAAGTGATAGTTAAATAATATTGGTTTATATACATGGCAATTTAATGGTGATTTAAATAAATGTATTAGTTTATTTGGAGTTGAAATTGTACCTACTATCAGAACTCGAGGGGTTTAAATACCAAAACTGTTGATTTGTATAGAAATATTGTAGAAAACGATTATGATGTAATTTTGGTTACCGAAACATGGTTAGGAGAGGGGATCTTGGATGGAGAGATAGTAGATTTAAATAATTTCAATTTAATTAGAGCAGATAGGAATAAGGAAGTGACTCAAAAATGTAAAAGTGGTGGTGTATTGATAGCTTTGCATAAAAAATGGAAAATATTAAAGGTTCTTAAAATAAGTACATCTTTTGAGGCAATAATATTACAAATTAGGGTTCAACATACGAAATTGACAGTTGCGTGTGTTTATATTCCACCAAAAAGTTCTCTTATAGTGTATGAATCTTGTTTCAGTTTTTTACAAGATAATATAGAATGCGTAAATAATTTTTATATAACCGGAGATTTCGACTTACCAGAAATCAAAGGCACTAGTGATGCAATTGATATATCTAATGAAAAACTTTTTGCTTTCAGTAATTTTCTAAGCTTTAATTCTTTTCAATTATTTAACATTATTCTGAACTTTCAAGGAAAAACTTTGGATCTAGTTATTACCTATGACGAAAATAGTTGTAATGTTTATAAATGCGAATTTCCTGTGACAAAGGAAGATGTATATCATCCCCCTTTAGAAATTTCAATTAATTTAAAAAAATGTATTTCATAGGACCGACTTGAATGAAAATACAAAATTTTTCTACAATTTTAAAAAAGCAAATTTTCCTCTATTGTATGAACTTATTAGGGCTACTGATTGGGAAGAAGTGACTGCACAAACTAATGTAAATAGTGCATTAGATGTCTTCTATAATATTTTAAGTAATATATTTTCAACTAGTGTACCAAAATTCAGTTTATACCAACACTATAATAAATATTCTAAATGGTACAATACAGAAATAAAAGAGCTTATTAAAGTTAAAAAAAAATAAGTAAAATTAGGCGAATTTCAGATTTGCACCAAAATGAATACATAGAAATAAGGAGAAAACTTAAATCACTGACAAAAATCGAATACAAAAAATATATTAAGAATAAAGAAGATACAGCTAATAAAAATATATATATTTTTTTTTTGAATTATATTAATACAAAGAGAGGTAAGAATACAGGCAGTGGCAGTTTTACTCTCAATGACAATGAAATTAAATCTTAAGATACCTACCGCAAAATATTTTGCAGAATTTTTTGCCATGAAGTTTTAAAAGTGCCACTGCTTCATATCTTTAACCTTATCATAAAAACCTTAACATTTCCTGTTATGTGGTAAACTGCAGTTTGTATACCAATTCGTAAATCAGGTAGTGTACGCAATATTGAAAATTACAGATCAATCTCTATTATGTGTGCTCCCTCTAAAGTATTTGAGCAAATAATTTACTGCAAATTATATAACTTCGTTCAAAACAGTATCACTGAAGAACATCATGGATTTATGAAAGGCAGACCAATCAATTCAAATTTATTTCTTTTCACCCACGCAAATGAGGCATTAGAGAAGAAGTTACAGATGGACACAATTTTTACTGATTTCAGTAAAGCTTTTGACCGGGTTAATCAAGATATTTTACTGGGAAAAATTAGTCAGTTTGGGATATCAAATAATATATTGATGCTCTTTAAGAGTTATTTAAAAGATAGATATTTTTATGTGAGGCATAATGGTAATACCTCGGAAAAATTCCATGCTTTTTCCAGAGTTCCACAGGGATCAAACTTGGGGCCATTACTGTTTTTACTAGTTGTCAATGATCTTCCAAGAGTAATTAAATATTCTAAATGTTTACTTTTTGCCGATGATCTTAAAGTATATAAAGAGATCAAAACAGTCCGAGATTGCGTCGCGCTGCAAAAAGATATAAATGCAATATATGAATGGAGCCAGAAAAACAAATTAAATTTTTATATCAACAAATGTTACTACATAACTATTAGTGGGCAAAGACAATCAATATTATTTGACTATCAAATGAATGACGAATCACTAAAGAGATGTCTGGAGGTCAAGGACTTAGGAGTAACTTATAATAGCAAGTTATCGTTTTCTCAAATATAAATTTATTAAGGTCCCTTTATTTTACATTAGTGCGGTCCAAAATGGATTTTGCTTCGATTATATGACAGGGACAATACCAAATTGCATTACAAGAATTGGAAAAATTACAGAATAAATTCTTAAGATATCTATATTTTAAAAAGTATTACATTAGACCGAATTACAAGACTGTTAGAAAAGTACAATTAACGAGTGAATTTAAAAATACTTCATTAGAATCTAGGCGAAAAATTACACGCATTTTATTCATTTATAAAATAATTAATGACCAAATGAACGGTCCGGATCTTCTTGCACTAGTACCATTTTCTGTTTCTCCTCGTCCAATGAGGAATACAAATATGTTTACTATTCCCTTTACCTTAACAACCTCCAGAACTTCTCTCCTAATGATGCTTCGTTTCTTTATTACAAGAATTCGAATGGTGGCAGAAAAATGTTGGATTAGGTCAAGCTATAAAATCTAAGCTGTTTTCGAGACTCGAGAGAGGTATTTTCAGATGCTTTACAGACAACATACCATTAAACAAATTATAAAAGTAATTTTGCTGATTTTCTCGTAGATACTGTCTATGATCTTGACCTAATTTATATGGAACCACCCTTGAGGTGGGGGGTACCTTTTTTCAACAAAAAAAAAAATAATAGAAATCGGACAACTTAGTAAAGAATTATCGCTGAATATACATACAAAATGAAGAGTTTGATTTTTTCTAGGAGATTTTAACAAAATTAACCCCTAAGGTACCCCTTTTCCAATAAATAAAGAATCATAGAAATCTGACAACATGGTAGAAAAACAAAAAAAATACTTACGTTTTAAATATTTCATAAGGGAATTAACATCATGTAATTCTCCAATTGTTAACAGTAGACTACACAAAAACACAAAAAATATTTTCATTATCGATATTTATGTTAAACTTATTTTTAAATTATTCGTTACCTAAACAGTTTTACGACTTAGTTCTTTCTAGATTCATTTAGTAAATATGTTATTAAATTGTAATTAAGGACAATAATGAATTTTGGGGGAAAGCAAAACATACCCATCAAAAATTTAGAATTTTGGCTATTAATAGGTAATAAAATTTACGAAACAAAAACTTTCTTTCATTAAAATAAATATAATTGTTAAGTTAAAATGGCACAGGACAATTAAATAAAACTTTAAAAACGAGGGGTAAACCTCTGGTGGACTTTGGTGTACAAGTCAATGAATAACTAATAAATTTTTTAATACAACAATAAATTGAGGTACTTTTTTATTGAATTTATACATCCAAGAGTTATTATACCAATATTTTTCCCAAAATTTTCAAAAACAACAAAATTACTTTTAGATTGTAAGTGAAGGAAAGAACAAGGGTAAACCATCCAGTTATTGGACACTTAAGGATTTAAAAAAAATTGAGACCATGCTGAAAAGATATTTTTCCACCTATAGATATGAGTGACATTGTAGTATTTATAATTTTAAGTAAGAAAAAATATAATTTTTTACAGTTAAAAAACTGGGATTATGTCAAAAAATTTAGTTATTTGACAATTTTCCTAGTTTTTGGACATACTCAATCCAGTAATTTGACATACAAAACTCAATAAGCCAGGACATACGGTTTCTGCTTTTATTTGTTTAAGTATAATTTCATGAAGGTTTATTTATATCTACCACTGTCACAAATTATTAGAAATTTTTGTAAGCATTCTTATACATAGTAGAAAGCTCGTCTATTTCTTGTTCCTCGTCTTCATTACTTTGTTTAACGTCCTCGTCTACTTCTTGATCCTCGGATTCAGTATTTTGTTTAACGTCTGGGCACAGTTTATAGCTGAAGAATCAGTTCGCTCACTCTGCGTCGGCACTTTTGATCTCAATGTTCCAGTTTATACACTGCGCAACTCGGATTTGTATCCCTGGTGCATACAGAATCAAATCATAACCAATACAATATATGACAACCGTCTACTTTATTCAAACAGCAGTCTTCTGCGCATCCTGAATTTGTATCCCTGGAGTGGATGTTATTTTGGAACATTCAACTGGTCCAAGTGAGCTAACTGATTCTTTAGCAATAAACTGTGGTCTGGGTTTGTCATTCAGATCATCACCGACTAATTTCTCACTATAAAATACATCTACTTCCGGTCTTCCCTGATTTTTGTTCTGATAAATTTCAATCAAATTTTCGTCAGTTCTTGTCGTATGTTTTTCTCTTTCGCCTTCTAAACAATTATTATTGTTTGCCAAGTTCACCAGCCCCTCGATTTTAAGTCTTTGCTCTCCACTGAAGCCATCTCCCTCATTTTTTAAATCTTCAAAGCTCTCCTCACTAATGGTACTATCATCACTTTCTTCTTTGTAACAATTATGATACATACATAAATAGTGATCATCTATATCGAGAACATGCTCCCTGTTTTTTTTTTTTTAATACGGAGACTGAAACTTCTTCTGGCAAGAGTTACATATCCAGTGTTTAATTTTGGTTAAGCATTTCTTACAAACGGAACAGATTGCATTTATTTTATTTTCATTTGATTTACAGACTTTCATAGTTTTCAAATTAGTTTTAGTTGCAGCTTTCTCTTCCCTTCTACGTTTTCCTTCAATCTTTTCATTCTCCTCCTCCAACTTGATAGCTCTTTTAGCCTCAAAATTTTCTTGGTAGAGTTCTGAACATATAGCAAAAGATACCCGTTCTACTTGACATGGGCGAAGTTATGTCATCAGATCTGGGGGGGCTAAAGCCCTAGCCCTAGTCATATAATATATAATAGTTCGAGAGGTATACCTACTGAAGTTAAGTAAAAAAATTCTGACGAATCTATGAAAATTGATAAAATATCATATATCGATTTTAAACAAAGTTTTGCAAAATTTCATTATAGTGAATTTGTAGATATCCATTTATGGTAAAAAACTAAATTTTACGACTTGCACTTGGAAAATAATGAATACTTCAGTTTTAATTTCGACATTAACACCATATAGATTGCAATTTGCTGGGGACTTTTTCGCAGATTTCTTTAACATAAACACTATCACATACTATAAGAAATAAACAAATTTAAAGCTAAAAAGTAAGAAAAACTCGAATTGTAATTGATACAAATTAAAATGTAAACAATGAACTCGTTGCCAAATGATGAACTGATTTTAAAACAAAATTATTAATAAATGAACTGAAATTAAAAAAAAAATTAATATAATAAATCGGTTTTATAAAAAAGTCCTTAAATAAATATAGAGTATGATTACATATTACTATATACAAATTTTGATTCTTAAATAAAAGGTCTTATCCACTTCTTCAAAGCTAAAATCCGACGACGTAGCGAAATTTTGCTACTTCTGGCAACACTGAACGATATCCTACTTATAGGGACCTTCTACAAATTTCCTCCAGAGGGCGTATCACTTAGCTTGAATCGAGAATAAAGATCCTTCCAATTATATCTTCTCAAGGAAGTGTAGGATTTGGAGTGGCTTCAAGTTAGGTAAATCTCCCTCTTCTATTTGGTATGCTCCTAGGTATAGTGCCCTTGGATTCTGAAGTGCTACACATTTAGTTAGAATGTGAATGAAGATTTTTCCTCCTCCTCACAAAATCTGCACTATCTTCTACTACTCTCAGTTTACTAAGGTGTCATTTTAGTTGGCAATGTCCAGTAAGGATCCCTGTTACAAGTGTTCTCACTACTAGAAAAATGTATATTATGATAACAGCTTAAAATACAATCTGGCTAATGTGGAACACCTTGAAAGCCTTGCCAGACTCGTCTAATGACCGTCAGGCGCGCTAAATTCGGCACGTTCGATTACTATTCCTCTCCTCGTTTAACTACCTGGCTTGTCAGGTCCGACCAAAATACGGTTTTATAACCGAAACAGAAACCAAATTTCGGCTCCTTTCTTAGTTTCGGCCGAAACAGAAACAAGAACTTTCTTTTATTGAAATTTGCAATATCTCATTGTAATCCTTGTTTTAGACTAATTAACTCGTATTATAAATTTTAGCTACATTTACTTATTACCTGTTTATTTATGTGATCAAAAGAAGCCATTAATAAATTTATTGACATGTTCACTTGAAACAAAGTAGAGATGTTTGTGTGTACGTGCACTGTGTAGAAATGGCACCCGGCACAGTCGCCATTGTGCCGGACACAACCAATTGTGATACGAAAATTTTTAAAAGTAGTTTCGCTGTCGGCTGCAGTTTCGGCCAGTTTTCCGCCGAAACCGAAACTGTAGTCGAAACTATTATTTAAAGCCAAAGTTGGCCGAAACCGTAACCGAACCTTCGGTCGGACACTACTTGTGAGTCTGGCAGGCCTCCGTAATTGTAATTGTCAGCCAGACGTGTATTTTCACTTACGAATATTTTGAAATTTATCCTAAGTAGATGGATAATGTTCTTAAAATATGCGTGAGTGTGCAAAAATTTACTGATAATAATTTAGGCACGTTTGGTATTGGGTAAGAAAGTTTTACACCAAAATATCCAAATTTCAAAACTTGACAGACATGCATTAAAACGACTAAAATCAAATTTTCAAAGGTAGCCATTCCACAGAATATAAAACATATGTTTTATATGCTGTGGCCATACCATGATCATTTGTCATATTTGAAGTCGTTTAGTTGACGCGAAAAACCTAATTATTATTTTACATAAAATAAATGTAGTGTATTTCTACCTAGTTATAATTGGTATTAAATAAAATATTAACCACTGAAATGGCAAATTTTTTATATGCATGAAAGAGCTGCTCAACTGTCAAAAAAATTTTCAATATAATTTCGTTCAGGGTACCCACCAAAAGAAAAATTTCCGGAAATTTTTCTGGTTGTCATGAAAGTGTTTTAAAATAACAGCACTTGATTGGCTATAAAATGGAGGTGTAAAATTATAATTTAATCTATCACGTGACAAATTTTCAAACCCGGGAAAATAAAACCAAAAATAATATATTTTTTCCATTTAAAAGATATTACCAGACTCATTAGCCAATTTCGTAAATCAGCCAGACTTATTATTATAAACAGTTCATGATTGTATCAATTTATATGCTCAATTTTCTGCCACACTCACTTTCCACTATCTGAGATAATCCAAACTGCTATTTTTATAAGCTTTATGTTCTAGTTTAGTAAATGTAAAATAGTTATGACTGGGAAAATAAGTGTCAGACTCAAAAATTTTGTTTTTTGTCACTAAGAGAACAGTTTATTTTTCATATACACCGACTGGAAAAATGCAGGGGGGGATATCGCGCATGGTGTCATGGCGGCTCTGACGTCATGCGTAGAGTTAGTAGAGTTGGCGCGAAATAAATATCATATGACAGACGCATGTTGCAGTAGTTTGGGAGTCGTTTACAGTAATTTATAAGGTATTAAACAGATATTTGTATTATATTATGTTGTAAACTTTGTTCTCTCTAAGTGCTTTTAGTGAAAAACTTTGAAAAATTGCGGTACGGATGTAACAGTAACAATTAAAGCAAGGGATTCAAGAAAAATATTATGGTTTTTCGCTTTCTTCGACAGTAAGAGCTCAGTCAGAAGTGAGGAGTGGCCCAAGGGCGGCTACAGCGGAGGCTTAGAGGAGCATGCCGTTACCTAGATTAAAATTCTTAAAATCCATGAGCCTTTTATTAAAAAAAATATGCTAAATAGGCAATTCTACCCTCCTTCTCAAGAAAATTCGACATGGAACAGCCCTTGCAGTGGCTCGTAACCCTGCAAATAAATTTTCATATGTATTCCAAGCACTTTCAACCTTCCAATTATAAGAGGAACCTCCAATTAGAACTTCACATTGGTTCAATCGCCACTTGGGACTTCTAAACTGGAGACTCTACCCTTTGAAGGCTAAAAATTTCGC